AAATTGCTACAGCCACTCTGTTGTGACTTATTCTTCAGTAATGTTTAATACAGTTTAGTCTTTAATAGACAGACTCTGTTACGCACCTGGTGACTGTCTTGGTTCTCGGTGACTTTCATGGCTTGAGTCTCGTCTCTCAAGTCGCTCTCTCGAAGATTTCTGTACGTGGTGAGGTCGTCATCACATGCGCTTTCCACCCTTCCAAATTTGTTTAACACTTCTTGGACTGCAGCTTCGAAGTTTTCGCGAGCATTTTGGAAGAAAGAGTCCTTGAAAAAGAGTCCTTTGTGGGATATTGACAGGGAGGTATCCAGGTCCCAAGGCAGGACATTCTTTGTAAAATTGTTCGTTTCGTTTTGGTCAAAACTGGAAAAAATATCTTCAGTTCGTTTAGAAGCCTCATTGATAAAGTTTCTGATGCTGGAAGACTCTGCGGTAGATCTGTGAGTCTTTATTTTTTCTTCTGTGTTGTGGGAGCTTCCATGGGCCTCAGCTGTTGCTCTCCTTAAGGAACTTTGTTCAGAATGTTGTGAGTTACCTCGCACAGACGAGGACTCTCTCCTCTCTTGCATATTCGTGTTTGGAGTCATGTCGAGAATAGTATTCTTTGCTTTTATTTCATCCTGTTATAAATATAAAACAGTAAACTAGAAATAAATAAATAGATATTGAACAGTATTTCATTAATGTTAAACCCGTGTGGGGCAGTCAGGAGAATGTGAGGCTTAATCTTCTGTCTGTTAACAACCAAGGACCAGCCATTGTCTGGTCAGGTTGCTGGTTGAACCATCAGATATATTGACTTAAAATGTATGTTATATAAAAAAAATAGTACAATAAAACATACCTTCTTTGGTACAGTTATGGTAAGGACTCCGTCAGAGGACATGGTGGAGGTGACGGCGTCTGGCCGGACCAGACCGGGGAAAGAGAACCTACGTAGGAAACTCTTCTTGGAGACTGATCCTTGGTGTGTGTGTTCCACACTGCCCTCCACCACCACCTCGTTCTCATCAACCACCTTCACTTTTACATCGCCACCCAGGAAGTCTCGCACGTCTATCACCACCTACAGAGACAATAAACATCATTCTCACATCGATGGTCTTTACTATGCATATATCAGAGTAAAAGCCTTTAGAAATATAAATTGTCAATGTATCCTAAAGAAAGCCTACTTTTGTAACAATACATATAATAATATGAGATTTCAACAAAACGAGCAAAACATGAAGACCCAAACATACCTTATGAGTCTGGTGGTCCTCGGTGAGAGACACTGCTTGGTTCTCCTCCTTCAGGTCACGTTCTCTCAGACGTCTGTAGCTGCTCATGTGATCACTCACAGGAGTTTCTCCCCAAGTGTCCAGGATACTCTTTACAGAGGCTTCAAAATCTTGTCGAGCTTCTTCGAAGAAAGAGTCGTGGAAGAAGGGACCTCTGTGAGATATAGGCAGCACGAAGTCTGAAGTTTGCTCTGGCGAGGAACCAACTAAACTGGAGTTTTTCACCTTTGTTCCGTTATTTGTTGTTATTTTGGTGGTTTCATTGTCAGCACTAATATGTGTTGACATTTTAGATTTGTTTTCTTTTTCAGTTGTCTTAGACACTGAAGCTTGTGCATTGACATCATGATGTAGATGACGGGTAAATTTGTTTATCTTTTCGTTTTGTGTTCCTTTCATCGTAGAGGAGTTTACTTTTGTGTTTATCTTATTGGTGTCAACTTTTGTTGTGTGTGACACAGGTTCCTGTAGAAATCAAACGAAGTTTAAGGAAACGCAGTGAAATCATGCATTCAATATATGTATTACTGCTTTTGGCCGGGTGAATTCACAAGCTAAGAGCAGTTACTCTAATTCAGCTAATTTCTAAACCTTATCTTAGATACGACTTTCCTCCACAGGATATAACACAAAAATCGACTAACACCCCAGATCCCCATTTCTAGAACAATAGGGGCAACAGATAAAATAAACAGTCTACTATTAAGCAGTAGGTTACAAGCTGACGCTGTATACTCACAAGTTTGTATTACTTACATACGAGTATATTAATTTGATGGATAGCCATAAATAAATATCACTATTTTAAGTCAGTATTACCAAAATATATTTTTTTTTCAACACCTCGATCATTTACCACCAATGCAAGGTGACCTGAAGCAAGCACATTAACCATCACTCATTCCTAAGAATCTTACTGAAAGACAACAAACAAAAACAATACATGAATGAATATGGGATAATATACGCACCTTTTTTGGTACAGTTATGGTAAGGACTCCGTCAGAGGACATGGTGGAGGTGACGGTGTCTGGTCGGACCAGACCGGGGAAAGAGAACCTACGTAGGAAACTCTTCTTGGAGACTGATCCTTGGTGTGTGTGTTCCACACTGCCCTCCACCACCACCTCGTTCTCATCAACCACCTTCACTTTTACATCACCACCCAGGAAGTCTCGCACGTCTATCACCACCTACAGAGACAATAAACATCATTCTCACATCGATGGTCTTTACTATGCATATATCAGAGTAAAAGCCTTTAGAAATATAAATTGTCAATGTATCCTAAAGAAAGCCTACTTTTGTAACAATACATATAATAATATGAGATTTCAACAAAACGAGCAAAACATGAAGACCCAAACATACCTTATGAGTCTGGTGGTCCTCGGTGAGAGACACTGCTTGGTTCTCCTCCTTCAGGTCACGTTCTCTCAGACGTCTGTAGCTGCTCATGTGATCACTCACAGGAGTTTCTCCCCAAGTGTCCAGGATACTCTTTACAGAGGCTTCAAAATCTTGTCGAGCTTCTTCGAAGAAAGAGTCGTGGAAGAAGGGACCTCTGTGAGATATAGGCAGCACGAAGTCTGAAGTTTGCTCTGGCGAGGAACCAACTAAACTGGAGTTTTTCACCTTTGTTCCGTTATTTGTTGTTATTTTGGTGGTTTCATTGTCAGCACTAACATGTGTTGACATTTTAGATTTGTTTTCTTTTTCAGTTGTCTTAGACACTGAAGCTTGTGCATTGACATCATGATGTAGATGACTGGTAAATTTGTTTATCTTTTCTTTTTGTGCTCCTTTCATCGTAGAGGAGTTTACTTTTGTGTTTATCTTATTGGTGTCAACTTTTGTTGTGTGTGACACAGGTTCCTGTAGAAATCAAACGAAGTTTAAGGAAACGCAGTGAAATCATGCATTCAATATATGTACTGCTTATAAATAAATATGGTTGGAGTTTTTTTTCCCCAGAGTGAATCACAAGCTAATATGAGTTACTCAACCTTATTTCATTTGAAAGCCCAGTCCTATGTAACGTATGATTTTTTTCCCCAGGATATGATAATGAAAAATCGACTAAGAATCAAGTGCTTATTCACTGCTAGGTGAACCAGGGCAAAAAGTGAAAGAAGCCCATATGTCTCCTCTTCACAGGGACTCACCCCCAGGACCCATAGATTGTGATATAAGCAGTGGACCAATGAGCAGCTGATTGTAAGCTGATATTGCATGTTCACAAGTTGTTATTAATTACGTAAGGGTTGTAATAGCTTGATGGATAATCATGAAAAGCATAATTAATAAGGCAATTATTACTACTATTATTTTTTCAACACCCCGATTATTTACCTCAAACGCGAAGTGACGTGACCATCACTCATTACAAGGATCTCTTTGGAAACTAACATGGACATCATGACCAATCTATGAATGAATATGGAATAAAATACAAACCTTCTTTGGTACAGTTATGGTAAGAACTCCGTCAGAGGACATGGTGGAGGTGACGGCGTCTGGCCGGACCAGACCGGGGAAAGAGAACCTACGTAAGAAACTCTTCTTGGAGACTGATCCTTGGTGTGTGTGTTCCACACTGCCCTCCACCACCACCTCGTTCTCATCAACCACCTTCACTTTCACATCTCCACTCAGGAAGTCTCTCACGTCTATCACCACCTACACAGCATAAAACAAACAATGATTAAAACAATTTCATTTTAAAATTTTGCCATAAAAGTGGATAGTTTACTGTATTTCCCACGTCCATCCTGGGGAAGGTCGTGGTTAATTGAATGTAATGACCATACATAGGCCTAGGAACATGGCCTTGAAATGGGTATATATTATTTATAAGTTTGTAATTTCTATATTTATATTACCAACCAGTTTATTGTATTTGTTCTAAATTTCTTGCAATTTATTTTCGAAAATAAGATAACTTAGTTTTATAATATAGGTTTATGTAATATTTCTATATTGCTTAACAAGTGCACAGTCTGGCACTACGATGAGAGGAACATAGAAAAGCACCTTTACGGAGCAACTTGTAATGTAAACAAATTGGCAGTCTGTGAGACACAGACGATGATCAGACTAAATGTGAAGCAAGCTCTCTGACGCCATTATAACGGAAGCTCTCTGACACCACCATGAAAGACTTTCTTGATTAAATTAATAAATACATCAAGCCAAGACAAGAATGACTTCTGGATGTGGTACATGTACAATAAATACTTTAAGTTTGGGTTGTGAAAGTGGCTGTCAGCACCGCGTTAAAAATATAAAGCATGCGCATTTACCTGATGATGATGACTGTTTTGGGAGACTGTGACTGCCTGGTTGTCCTCTCTCAAGTTGGTTTCACGAAGTTTTCTGTAGCAGGTCAGGTCATCCATTGTGGCTGACCTGTGACCCCAGCGGTCAAGCACGTCCTTGATAGCTTCATCAAAGTGCTGACGAGCTTCCTTGAAAAAAGCATCGTGGTAGAAGCTTCCTCTGCATGTTATGGGCAGCAAGTCTTCTCTGACCCCTGTAGACTCCAGCTGATTCATGTTTGTCTCACACAGTCTGCTGCTGCTGCTGGTGCCACTGCTGCTGCTACTGCTGCTTTTGACACTGTTTACACAGGATGTGTTACTGATGTTGGTAAGAGTGTTGGCGAGGCGGCTGGAAGCATCGGTGTTTTGATGTACTGGGGCCATGGCTTCTGCTTGGCTTCAGAATTATATCCTCAAGTGTATTCACTTAGAATAGTGAATAATATTGAGTACCAGAGGTGGAGTGTCAATAGCACCTGAGTACTAGTGTTCGAGTGTACACTTATATTCCAATAATCACCAGTATCTGAGTATAAGTGGCAGAATGTGCTCTTATATCCTGATAAACACTACTTCTTAGAGTACCAGTCAGTGATGGAGTGCAAGGTTGGTCAGCTCGTAGCTGTGATGCCGGCACTGTTGTGTCTGCCCATCACCTGGTCCACCTCCCTATTTATGCCGGTCGAGTTGGCTGTACGCCCAGCCTCCGCCCACGCCTGTGATGTTACTCAGCCGCCCCGCTACGCCCACACTTGCAGGAGCAGTCTCGACCCATCCACCACCTTCTCGAACCATGTGTCCCCTGGCGGGTGTTGCTTGACTCACATCGATGCGCGCTGCCTCCTCGCGTTACTCGTGGAGAGCGCTAAACCCGCACGGGTCACGCAGCCCCCCCCCCATCCCTCGGAAGGGATGGCGGGAGTTTTTTTTTATTTCCGTTCATCCCTGGAAGGAGAAGGGTAGCTCTGGTTCCTCGGAACAAGAGCCCTTGACCTCTCTGCAAGGGATTTGGGACGAGACACTTCACAAGGAAAAGTTGCCTTTATTAAGGAATGCTAATAACATTATTATTATTGTTATTATTAATTATTAATTATTGTAATTATTATTATTATTTTTTTAATTATTCTAATTTTATTATTTTAATTATTATAATTATCAGTTATTGTAATTATTATTGATTACTAATTATTGATAATTATAATTATTATTAATTATTGATTATTATAATTTCATTATTATTACTATTATTATTAATTATTGATTTTTAATTGTTGTTATGATTAAGTATTGATTAATGTAATTATTATTAATTATTATTATTATTATTATTATTATTATTATTATTATTATTATTACTATTATTCTGGAAAGCAAGAGTAATACAGTAATAACATATGAACATTATACAACTGAAAATAATAAAAATAAAATCATTTGTAACTCAATAAACATTATTACCGAGAACAACAATAATCTGTTGAACACATTTTTTGAGGCAAGTATCACGATGTTCAACCTTGTATATGTTTAGAGATCTGTGGAGATCTGGGATAAAGACAACACAAACTGTTATAAACCAGGGTACGAGTGGGGTTAGAACTCGTGACAAGTGAGTTCTGACCTAGTGGTTTACGCACTGGCCTGGTGTTTTACTGCTCGCCATGGGTTTTAATCAGACCCGTAAACTGGTTTCTTTGTAATCGTGGCATTACAGTTTCGCGAGAGAAGCTGTTATCTTTCCCCACGACGAGGTCTCCTATCATGGTAAGGATATGGCGCAGGATTAAAAACTCTTGCGAAGCACATAGGAACGTGAAGTGTGTGCGTGTGTGTGTGTGTGTGTGTGTGTGTGTGTACTCACCTAGTTATACTCACCTAGATGAGGTTGCAGGGGTCGAGTCCTAGCTCCTGGCCCCGCCTCTTCACTGGTCGCTACTAGGTCACTCTCCCTGAGTGTGTGTGTGTGTGTGTGTGTGTGTGTGCGTGTACTCACATAATTGTTATACTCACCTAGTTATACTCACCTAGTTGAGGTTGCAGGGGTCGAGACTCAGCTCCTGGCCCCGCCTCTTCACTGACCGCTACTGGGTCCTCCCTCTCCCTGCTTCATGAGCTTTATCATACCTCATCTTAAAACTATGTATAGTTCCTGCCTCCACTACATCGCTTGCCAGACTATTCCACTTTCTAACAACTCTGTGGCTGAAGAAATACTACCTAACATCCCTTTGACTCATCTGAGTCTTCAGCTTCCATTTGTGGCCCTTTGTTTCTGTGTCCCATCTCTGGAACATCCTGTCTCTGTCCACCTTGTCCATTTCACGCAGTATTTTGTATGTCGTTATCATGTCTCCCCTGACCCTCCTGTCCTCCAGTGTCGTCAGACCGCTCTCCCTTAACCTTTCTTCATAGTATTTTTCCCCTTAGCTCTGGAACCAGCTTTGTTGCAAACCTTTGCACTTTCTCTAATTTCTTGACGTGTTTGACCAGGTGTGGGTTCCAAATTGGTGCTGCGTACTCCAGTATGGGCCTGACGTACACAGTGTATAAAGTCTTGAACGATTCCTTACTGAGGTACCGGAACGCTATTCTCAGGTTTGCCAAGCGCCCATATGCCGCAGGAGTTATCTGGTTACTGTGTGCTTCTGGCGATGTACTCGGTATTATACTCAGTCCTAGGTCATTCTCCTTGAGTGAGGTTTGCAGTCTTTGGCCTCCTAGCCTATACTCTGTCTGCAGTCTTCTTTGCCCTTCTCCGATCTTCATGACTTTGCATTTGGCAGAGTTAAATTCTAGGAGCCAGTTGCTGGACCACACATCCAGCCTGTCTAAGTCTCTTTGTAGACCTGCCTGGTCCGCATCTGATTTAATTCTCCTCATTAACTTCACATCATCTGCAAACAGGGACACTTCTGAGTCTATCCCTTCCGTCATGTCGTTCACATATACCAAGAATAGCACTGGTCTCAGGACTGACGCCTGTGGGACCCCGCTCGTCACCGGCGCCCACTGTGTGTGTATGTGTACTGAATGTGAATAGAAGTTTGTATGATATGACTGTGCTCTTACGTGTTCATGACAGCAAAAAATGTTAGTAATCCTGCCAGAATGACAGAAATGGTAAACGGCTTTGCTTTTCAGTTATGTGACGGGATGGGATGGTAGCGCTTCCCTGAATGGCTGGTAATGCTTTGTCAACTAGCCTTAGTTTTTCAGGGATAGTTTTGAGAGATAGTTTTGTTTGTATAACTTTCTTATGCACTTTATACCCATCCTGCGGACGGTGGTCATCTATCCCGTGGGCAGTAGTCACCTACCCATCCCGTGGGCAGTAGTCACCTACCCATCCCGTGGGCAGTAGTCACCTATCCATCCCGTGGGCAGTAGTCACCTACCCATCCCGTGGGCAGTAGTCACCTACCCATCCCGTGGGCAGCAGTCACCTACCCATCCCGTGGGCAGTAGTCACCTACCCATCCCGTGGGCAGTAGTCACCTATCCATCCCGTGGGCAGTAGTCACCTACCCATCCCGTGGGCAGTAGTCACCTACCCATCCCGTGGGCAGTAGTCACCTACCCATCCCGTGGGTAGTAGTCACCTACCCATCCCGTGAGCAGTAGTCACCTACCCATCCCGTGGGCAGTAGTCACCTACCCATCCCGTGTGTGGTAGTCACCTACCCATCCCGTGGGCAGTAGTCACCTACCCATCCCGTGGGCAGTAGTCACCTACCCATCCGTGGGTAGTAGTCACCTACCATCCGTGAGCAGTAGTCACCTACCCATCCCGTGGGCAGTAGTCACCTACCCATCCCGTGGGTGGTAGTCACCTACCCATCCCGTAGGCAGTAGTCATCTACCCATCCCGTGGGCAGTAGTCACCTACCCATCCCGTGGGTAGTAGTCACCTACCCATCCCGTGGGCAGTAGTCACCTACCCATCCCGTGGGCAGTAGTCACCTACCCATCCCGTGGGTGGTAGTTACCTACCCATCCCGTGAGCAGTAGTCACCTACCCATCCCGTGGGCAGTAGTCACCTACCCATCCCGTGGGCAGTAGTCACCTACCCATCCCGTGGGCAGTAGTCACCTACCCATCCCGTGGGTGGTAGTTACCTACCCATCCCGTGGGCAGTAGTCACCTACCCATCCCGTGGGCAGTAGTCACCTACCCATCCCGTGGGTAGTAGTCACCTACCCATCCCGTGGGCAGTAGTCACCTACCCATCCCGTGGGCAGTAGTCACCTACCCATCCCGTGGGTAGTAGTCACCTACCCATCCCGTGGGCAGTAGTCACCTACCCATCCCGTGGGTGGTAGTTACCTACCCATCCCGTGGGCAGTAGTCACCTACCCATCCCGTGGGCAGTAGTCACCTACCCATCCCGTGGGTGGTAGTTACCTACCCATCCCGTGGGCAGTAGTCACCTACCCATCCCGTGGGTAGTAGTCACCTACCCATCCCGTGGGCAGTAGTCACCTACCCATCCCGTGGGTAGTAGTCACCTACCCATCCCGTGGGCAGTAGTCACCTACCCATCCCGTGGGCAGTAGTCACCTACCCATCCCGTGGGTGGTAGTTACCTACCCATCCCGTAGGCAGTAGTCACCTACCCATCCCGTATCTTGTGAGATATAAGGTACTCACTAGTGTTAGTTAGTAATATGTAACATACACCGTGAATTTAGAACCTAACATGGGGGGGGGTTAAAAGGGGGAGATTGTGTGTTGTCAGGAAGAGAAAGGTTTATGGGGGATAATTATAACTGAAGTTTTTTAAGTTCATATTGTTAACCATGTTTGTCCATTTCATAAATATTGTTAAAAATGTCAGAAGATATATAATATGGGAAGTGGTCATCTTATCAGAGGGCTTTTTCCATGGTATAGTAGGAATATATATACTGGATGAAGCAACTATTTAGGGAATATCTTGTATTGTTTGTATATTAAGAGAAATACTGAATGGCATAAGCATGAGAGGATCTGGTCATTGATAACAATGGCAACTGTCATCAATTGGATGAGTTTGAACTTTAATTTTAACTGAAGGTAGAAAACTTTAGTTGATACATGAAATGATGTAATATTCTTAGGTCATACTGTGTGTTGTAAGATGGAAGGAATACCTTTAGAGTTTTTCGACAATGTTTGAAGGTATAACCGTCCGCAGGAGGACATATGTATAATGGTTATGGTGTGGAGTTCACTTTTGTATGATTTACAGTTTATATTCAAATTTTGTATGTAGTTTCGTTTTTAATAATAAAAAAATAGGCCTCATTATCAAATAGGCACAATTTATTTTGATTTTTCTCTCTAAAGCAGCACCCCAAAATTTAATTAAACTCTCACAAAATTATTATTTGTCATTAATGATAAATAATGATAACCAAAATCAGGCTAACTTTAGCCAAATTAAGCAGAGTTATATTAGAATCGGTTATATAAATTCTAGTAAGTATATATGGGACTGCTAAATTCGTTTTGGTACATATATGCCAATCCTTTATGAAGGATATATTAACAGAAAATATACTTTTTTAGGAGTATATTTTAACAAGAAAATTGCGTTTGTTTGTGAAGCTGGATGGTTGTTTGAAGGAGCATAAAGACAGTGAATCAGTATCACTTGTACACTGCTAGTCTCTAAAGTGGGGAACAAGGTAAACTATCAGAAATATACCTCTCAGTGTAGACACATTGAGTACATACCTCTTAGTGTACATAAAATAAGTGATACATACCTCTCAGTGTTTATACACAGATTCATACCTCTCAGTGTATACATACACTGAGAGGTACACACATTTTAGTGTATATACAATGATAAATACATACCTCTCAGTGTATATCCACTGATAATGCATACCTCTCAGTGTACATTGAGAGATACATACCTCTCAGTGTGTATACCCTGAGAGACCAATGTTTACACGTACGATACCTGCGTACCTTCTGATGTCATCACACCCCACTGCCAGACGGTCCACCACTCAACATCAACCAACAACATCTAACCCAAACATTCCCCCGTCACGAGACACTTTCCCAAAAGCATGAACATTCAACAAATTCACAGGAATGTTGTGGGAATTACAAAAAAACAGTCTTACAGGCGAATGTCTCATTCCCTTGATGAGAACGCTTGGGCGGAGCCTGACTCACTCTAGATGTGCCATAAATGGCCCTTTTAAGATGCCAAATATGGCACTCTCAGCTCCGGCTTGATGTTACGTAATATGTGGGCTGTTAGTCACCTGGTGGACAAGGAAGATGAAAGGTATCATTGCAGGTGAGGCATATACTTTACTGGCCATCGAATTCCTTATCAATAGAAGTGCTAGATGATTTTATGCCATATATAGTGGTAGTAATGTTTATCCCAGCATGACACAATGTTTGTACAGAAATGTGTCATGTTCATCCCAGCATTTAGGTGTACATGCATAAATACCATTGTTATGCAGAACATATCGGACAAAATATGAGTATAGGAAGTGGGCTATAATAGATTAAACGTTAATATATCTAAAATATAATCCGTATAATAATAATAATAATAATAATAATAATAATAATAATAATAATAATAATAATAATAATAATAATCTTATCATTATAATAATTGCTATGATGTAGGAACCGGTAAATCCTCAGGGAAATATACAGCGTATGGAGAATGAGAGGTGGTCAAGCTTGATCCAAGGAAGTTGAGAATAGCTCCAGTTCCTTGAACGAAGAGCCCTTCACTGATGAAGAAACATTAACACTATACAACATAGTTCAATATATATATATATATATATATATATATATATATGTATATATATATATATATATATATATATATATATATATATATATATATATATATATATATATATATATATATATATATATATATACATATATATTTGTGTGTGTGTGTGTGTGTTTCTCAGGTCGACAGGAAAAGGCAGAGTTATTCATTCCACTTTGCTCCATCTATGTGGAAAATCTTTTCACTCGTGTACTTGACACCTGACACTACCAACGGAAGCCAACCACAAACACTGCAGTTCCTCCTTCACTGGTTCTAGCTTTGTTTACAAGAGTTGCTTGTGGGGGGTTTCCTTATTGAATCCAGAGAAAGTTTGGGTAGCAGGGAGGCTAAAGTAAGTTCTCTTCCGGATATAATTTATAAGTTAACAGAAGGTTCCATCAACAGAGTTCCATTTAATAATAAACTCCGTTCAACAGTGATCAACACTGAACAGAAAGATCCATTCAACAGAATGATCCCTTCAACAGAACGATCTATTCAACAGAACGATCCATTCAACAGAACGATCCATTCAACAGAATGATCCAGTCAACAGAATGATCCAGTCAACAGAACGATCCATTCAACAGAATGATCCAGTCAACAGAATGATCCAGTCAACAGAACGATCCAGTCAACAGAACGATCCATTCAACAGAATGATCCAGTCAACAGAATGATCCAGTCAACGAACAGAACAGAATCCATACAACAGAATGATCCAGTCAACAGAATAATCCAGTCAACAGAACGATCCAGTCAACAGAATAATCCAGTCAACAGAACGATCCAGTCAACAGAACGAAAAAGTGAAATTAATCACGCAATAATAATTAAGATTTTTTTGCATATAGACACCAATTAAGCAGACACTAATTAAGCAAGCATCAATTTAGTAGGCTAACTAAATAAGGCCCAAATAAATAGGCACTAATTAAGAATCAATTAAGTAAATATTAATCAATTTGACCCCAGTTAACTATATATCGGTTAAATAGGCACTAAGTAGGCACCAGTTATTAGGCGCTAACTTAGCAGCCACCAATTAAACAGGCACTAGTTAGGTAGATAATAATTAAGGATAGGTTAAGTAACTAGGAACGTAAGTCTTACAGTAATGAATTACATTCCAGACCTCCGTCACTTGAAATACATTGCGGACGTGAAAACAGAATTAAACAACTGATATAAGTAAGTTTATTTAGGTACAGATACACATAAGTACAGTTATACCTACTAACATAAGTGTATATTGCCTAGAATAAGAAAAAAAAGTCAAAGTGACTTATTTCCAGTGGAGTCCTTGTAATATCTTATCATTTAAAGCCTAGATCTAGGATACAATAAAGCACAGTAGAAAAAATAAATCATACCAGTATTCTCAAACGTAAATATACAAGATTCGTGTGTATGCGTATCGAAATAAACTATTCTGGAAAGATTCTCTAAGAACAATTCTCCAACTCATTCTACGAAAGTCAGTTATAAATTAACATTACCGCATATTTCTCGTATGGGAGATTTTTTTTTGTGTGTAGATTGCGTCATCAGCGACGGGTCGCCCTGTATTCAGGGTGAAACAAACATTACCTAAAATGGAATTTCCAAGTAGATTCTCGGCTCTCAGTAATAAATGGATTGCTTTAACTTTGTCTAGGACTTGCTGCTGTTAAGGGTTTGTAAAATGTGTGATACGAAGGCTTAAATAAGACAGGAAAATGAATAAAATGCTGAATAATACTCAAGGTTACTCGGGAGTTCCAATGATGGCAGCACATCGTAGTGACGTCAATGACGCAGGCGCACAACGGGTGGGAAGCTGAAGGCATAAAAGGCAGAGACGGGGAGGCACGAGGCTCTCTCCTCTCCCAGCTGGTGCCTGTGGCGTTGCAAGCAGTATTATCTCAATACAGTGTGTTAAGTGTGAATAACGAATTAAAGAGGAAAGGAAATCAACATGGCCCCCGCACAGCGACACACCTGCTTCACGTACAGTGCCAGTCAGCTCGCCACAGTCTCTGAAGATGACACTTGTCATCAGGTAAGATGTGTCTTTGTCTGCAGTTCGCATTAATAATTCGTACACTACCGAGGATGTAGCACCGGTGTGGCGCCCCTCGCCTAGTAAAACAAAGTGGAAACTTAGACCCAAGTAGTGGACGTCGGCCGGTGCTTGAAGCAACGCTAGGTGAAATATGAAGAATGGGATTAAGGAACCGGTAATGAGGGGAGACGATGACGGCATAAACATCGAGGGTAGACTTTAGTAGAGACGGAACTAGAAGAAAAGAGGGACGGCAGACTCATAGCTGGAAATTGCACAGCCCGACCAGCCTCTAATGTCCCCGAAACATTCCTTAAATATGAGTGGTAGAGAAGTGAAATGAGGTGAACAGAGATAGTGCTCTTCGAAGGTCTAGAGACCTCCACATCGCTTCAAAAATAGATATGACAGCTATTTCACGGTCAGACCCTCAATGGTTGGCGTGGTGATGCTCAAGTGTTCTTGATCAAAGGAATTAGCTACTCTCCCAGGTAATGTATGACCCCTCCCCCTTACGTGTTTATCACTTCGTCTTGATTGCAATAATCACGTCAGTTAAAAGCGGGAGCCACTGTTCATCCCGGCACACACACAAAAGCATAATAGACTCTTCTGTATGTAAACATTATCTCATCCAAGGCAGGATTGCCATTCCCACGAGCCTCCCCTGGGGCGGGGACTTTGGCAGATCAGAGGCCTAGCTTCTCCCTACGAGCCCCTTGAGGGCGGGGAATAAGGCTAGGCTTGGGGACAGTTGGTCCCAGAAGATGAAGAGGTGTTTATATCTCCTCCCATGGCAGACATAGGTCTCAGACACTCTCAAGATAGGGAGCCAAGGCCGAGTCACCATCTGGAGAAGACCCGGGCCGGGAGAGTACCGGCGAATCAAGAAGAACGGCAGGATTCGAACCTGCGCACTTTGCACCAAAGTACACAGTACTTTTGCATGGATTTAATAGAATTTATTGCAAGGCTGGTGCTCCGGGGTATGGGATCCACCGCATAGCTTCGGCTAAGCACCCATACCTATTCTGTGACAAAAGTACTGTGTACTTTGATGCAGAGTGCACAGGTTCAAATCCTGCTGTGGATTGAGATAATGTAAATAATTTCGCCCGTTTGCAAAACACACACACACACACACACACACACACACACACACACACACACACACACACACACACACAATAGCTTCCTGCTTAATGTAATCCATTACTTGAAAAAATAAGCATAAAAGCAGTAAGAAAGGGGACTGTCACCTCTATTGAGACAGGTGATGTCACCTGTTAAAGTGAGTTGACTCACTACTGCCTCACTATAACCTTGAGGCAACTGCCTCCGCAAAGCAAACTCAATCACTGTCAGGTGCAATGTTACTTTATGTTTATAGAAGCAGAGTGTATCACGTTTTTATAACTATAATCAAGGGCAAATAACTGAAGAATTTCTCCCAGGGAATGTGATTTTGTTTCTTTTTTTTCCTCTCGATATCCTCTAAGTAAATACAAAATTTTCAATATATCTGAAAGACATTTTGTTTGTCTTTATACTCACGTGATTTCTTTACATCAGTTCATTAAAAATTTTTACCCCTTGTATTAATGTATTAAATACTTGAATAGAAGGGGAAGGTCCTTTAATACATTAATATTAAGGACTTCTCTCTTGTATCAGTGCACTAAGGACTATTTTCCTCCCTTGTGTCTGTGCATTAACAGCTATTCTTCCCTACAATATTCAGGTTAAGATGGACGTAAGCGACTTCGTAAATAGAGGCGTGAGAGTTGATGTGGTAGATGGTAACGAGTTAGTGGTGGAAGTGAGCAACGAGGACGAGGTAAACTCCTCGGCTTTCCACCACAACTGGAGACGTCGCTTCTCCTTCCCTGGCCTTCAAAAGATAGAGAGCATGACGTCTACTATGTCTCCTGATGGGATCCTCACTATCACCGTACCCAAGGTGGGCACCTCCCGTTAGTGTACCGCAGACAATAGCGAAGACGAACAAAAGTTACAAAACGAGCCTCATGACTTAACAGCTCTACACGGAGCGAAATCTTATTCCACTGAAGGCTTCTGTAATGTGTGTTGCGTGTTGCAGTGTCTACGAGGGGGCTTTAATGTCCATCGAGGATTTTTATTCTAGGAATTACAGTTCTACCTTCTCTGCGTCAAACCTGATTTTTTTCCAGTTTTCTACGTTTTTAACGCTTCCTTTAAGTTTAAGGCCTTGGTCAGATGACCAAAAGCTCCGGCTCCTGGTCGTTATATGACTAAGACTCGCGTCAGAAAACACTTGTCCTGTTTCCCGACAAATCTTTCTTAAACTAACCTTGTGTGTATATATATATATATACATGTATACATATATATATATATATATATATATATATATATATATATATAATATATTATATATATATATATATATATATATATATATATATGTTATAATATATATATATATATATATATATATATATATATATATATATATATATATATATATATATATATATATATATATATATATATATTATATATATATATATATATTATATATATATATATATATATATATATATATATATATATATATATATATATATATATATATATATATATATATATATATATATTATATAACATAATGGAAAGCCTATAACATAACATTTTACTAATTTTTATTGAAAATCTTTTTACCCTCTTGTTAATTTCATTGAGTTTGAGAGGTTAATTGTTCTTATATTTTGATTATTAATTATGTAGTAACGTCTTATGAAGGACATGCTAATCACTGTAATGTACATGTTTCCTCAGACGTTTGCGTCGCTGTGACGTGAACACAACCGTGCTGTGATGACCAGCGTAAATGAATACACCAGCAAGGTACGTCAATTTTGAGATAAATGCGTCATGTTGTATACTTCTATATTTTAGGAAAAGGAATTTTAGTCAAATTTATGTAACATCATTCAACTTTGCGGGTTGTTTACCCGGATTTTTTAAATATTCACCCTGGGAGTATATTTTAATGTCCAGTGCTAAAGCAGCGGTAAGGAACCTCGTATAGCAAAAGGCTATTGACACCGAGGGGTGTGTCTATTTCTTTTAGTTTAACCCGTAAAATAGGGATTCTGGTTGTGCATTAAAGGGTCGTTAAGGCTCTTGTACAGTATACCATGACCCTGTCTAAATATATTTCTATCGTATTTTAGGTAACAAAAGTCCACTAAGGTGAAGGCAAGAATGAAGGCATCTTGGAGAGCAAGACAAAGACTAAACCCCAGCTGAAGTTTATGTAGTGTTTAAAAATCCAACAAAGCCTTAAATCATCGTTTTCAATCAACGTGATGGACGTGGACGCCGTCACCTTTGTCAGCTGGCGTCCTCTATATCAATGCTCCTTACAGGTGATCGGACGCTAACCTGTAAGCAAGTCGATTGACTTTGATGATATGGGAGAGAACAATATAACTTCATACACTCGAAAGTAATATTGGAGAGTGTTTTGTATTCCAGGAGAGGACACAATATCATCAGGAAACAGACGTGGTGCATACCAACTGCAAAAGCAATTGGAGCTATCCTCTCTTGTATTAAACCGATACCTCTCGGTTCCCAGGTTCTCCATTTCTCCTACTTGTCTAGCACTGTCTCGTAATAATCATTGCAGAAGTCAAGAATAAAGTTCTGTGAAGACAAGTGTGATGGACACACCTCACTCCACCATTCCCTCATCCCGTCAGCATCTGGTTTTCTTCAACATCTTCCTGAAGAAATCTTTGCTGGATGTAAAAGAAAAACCAATCCAGTGAGTTGGCAGACCAGTGGTTTGGTATTAGTGTGCGTGGGTAAGTCTGAATTTCCACTCGTGCGCAGTGTCGTACTGCGCAGCTCAGACATAACCGAACCTTGTGGTACAATGTTATATATATAAAAATTATCAATATATAAAAAGTATCATAAGATATAATGGGACCCTGAAACATATACGCTAATACGAAATTTCTAAAATAAACAATAAACATACAACAATGATTTTTGGCTTTCTAATTTCCATAGGGGTTTGAAATACAGCTCTTTACAAACCTATTTTGTGTATTGTATTTCCAAAATACAGTTGAAAAGGGCGTCCAAAATTGAATAGTACATAAATTGCAGACCTTTTTAAAGCGCTAATTAACTTCGGATGTTTCTCCCATGAATACATTACATGTGGATAATTAAGATTGTACATAAATGGTTCAGAGAACCGACAAGTTGATAAATTGTACAACACAACACTTGGGTATCTTTGTGGAAACGTTTCGCCACAGTGGCTTCAGTTCAATACAAAAGAATGGTGAAAATGAGGAGTTTGAGGTAATCAGTCCCTCAGTCTGGAGTCGATTTAATCATTCCAAGGTGACACCGCCTACAACTACTTCACCTCGTCTGTCTGCGGCATATAAGCCCCTTCCACATACTCTGTATTATCAAGACTGATGGACTGATTCCATAGACTCCAGGCTGAGGGACTGATTACCTCAAACTCCTGATTTTCGCCATTCTTTGTATTGGACTGAAGCCACTGTGTGGCGAAACGTTTCCACAAAGATACCCAAGTGTTGCACATGTCTAATTCATCAAAATTAAGGCTAACGAGTATCATAATGTGAAACTTAGTACTAATAATGTTGGATAAAGAGATTATTCCACTAATTAAAACACAAGACAGGCATTTACCAACAATAAGACCTTGATATTTTTTTTTAAAACAGCTTGCAGCACATACACTGTGTGGTACACTACGGTCACTCTGACTGGTACACTTGTACCGAGTGGTACTCACTTTGTGAGTGGTATATACTGTGGGAGTGGTGCACTAGTTTGAGTTAACATTCCTTCACTCTCCTGTCAGGACGAGTGTATCTGTCACTGTATTGTCAACAGGTACCTCGGCCATGGATTGCATGTTAAATATATATTGTGCTCTGGCAGCTTTCCCGAGTGTGCATGATGGGGATGTTCCGGGGCCAAGTTCTTGATCAGGCCTCCTGGTGGGATCATGGCCTGATCAACCAGGCTGTTACTGTTGTGTACGAACCACAGCCCGGCTGATCGGGTACTGACTTTATCTGTCCAGCTCCCTCTTGAAGACAGCCAGGGGTCTATTGGTAATTCCCCCTAAGCCTGGTGGGAGGCTATTTAACAGTTTTGGGCCCCGCACACTAATTAAGTTAAGTTAGAGGGTACCACAGTAAAAAGTTCTGTTCCACAAGGCACAGTACTCGCCCCCATCCTGTTCCTCATCCTCATATCAAGCATACTGAGATGTAAACCATAGCGCCGTGTCCTATGCAGACGATACTAGAATCTCCATGAGATTTTCATCCACTGAGGTTACAGTAAATCTCCAAGTAGATATAAACCAAGTTTTTCAATGGCAACGGAAAACAATTTGATGTTCAATGAAGACAAATTTCAACTACTACATTATAGAAAACTGAATGAAATAATAACTATAACTGAGTATACTACAAACTCTAATCACACAATAGAGCGGAGGCGAGAGAAATGCATAATAATCTACACCTGGAAAATCCTAGTGACGCTGGTCTCAAATCTGAACACAGAAATCACTCCCAACGAAAGCAAGACTGGTCAGACGGTGCAATATACTCACAATGAAAAGTAGGGACGCCATTAGTACTCTAAGAGAATACACAATGTGTCTGGTTTGTTGCACTTTTTAATGAACACGGAGTTCCATGAGTCTGAGCCTGGGGCTGTGTGCATGGGCATGTTGTCAATGGTTTTTTCAAAGTCCAGTGGAGTTAGGGTTATGTCCAAATTTGATATTCATTGACAGGGTTTTGAGGCTCATTTATGAAAAAAAAAATTGGATTGTCGATCTTTATACTGATTAATGGCTCGGTAAACACAGTGTCATATTAAAACTTGAGTATCTCACTCATTTCTTTGCTGTCACTTGTGTAAGATCCATCTTGTCTGAGCAGGGGCTCAAAACTAGATATGGTTTTTGCCTTTTTTTTGGCATATGAAAAAAATATTTTGAATTTCTTTCGATTTCACTAATTGCTTTTAGCTCCTCCTGTCTCTCCTGGATCCTGTATGAATCATTTAACTGAAATTCAGTATTTTCCTCTTCTCCAGTCACCGCTTCCTTCTATATTTCAGATAATCCAGCCCCCCTTGAGGATCTCAGTGAGTCTTTACCTTCTCCTGTAGAGGGAACGTCTCTCTCTCTCCAGTTCACTTCTTCTCTTCTTGTTTCTTGGGGAATATGCATTGAACATATTTCACTTGCCAGAAAGTTGATCCTTTCAAGGCACTGGTTAGGGTCCATGTTATTTAAGATATCTTCCCATGTTTCATTTAGGACATAGTTTACCTGATCCCAGTTGATGATGAATTTGAATTTGGTGAAGACACCCTCGTTGCTGTATGCATTTTGCTGGTCGGGGCCCCTGTGCATGTAAATCTGGATTTTAATTAGAGTGTGATTCAAAGTAGCAGTTTATATAATTATGTTTCTCACCAGACCTTCATTATTTGTGAAAATAAGGTTAAGTGTGTTTTCCAGTCTTGCTGGCTCAACTATATGTTGGCTTAGGTTGTATTTATTGCAGAGATTCAGCAACTCAAGTGTGTGTGTGAATTTTCATCTGAGCTGCCTCCAGATATTGTCTCTTCTATAAGATTATTTTCTACATTCTTCCGTTTTGTATGAATTAGACTGAAATCACCAAGCAGCAAAATGTTTGGGGCTGGGATTGGAAAGTTTTCCAGACATTAATAAATTTTCAATAATTTCCTTGAACTGTTAAGAAATTGAATCTGGTGGCTTGTATACAACCACAATGACTAAGTTTTGGTTCTCGATATTTAGTGTTAGAATTTCAACTACATCATTTGTGGTGTTCAGTATCTCTGTGCAAGTGAGCGACTCCTTGGGATACAGCCCCCCGCCCCCCCCCATGCCTTGTTGCCTGTTCTTTATGTTTCATCATCTAAAAAAGTTGTACCCTATTATTCATATTTCACGGTCAAAGTGGTCTTTTGTGTAGGTCTCTGAACTTTCCATTATCTTTCCTCGTTTCCTGCCACTAAAAAAATCACTTGGCGTGCGATTGTCGTAACTGCTCTGGTTTGTTTTATGGGGTCTGTACCTCCTGATCCTTTTTAAATGGTACTCAGGACAGTTGGTGTTACAGTATTGTTTTTGGAGGACTGATGAGTGGCACATTTCAGGGTAGAAGAGTTTACAGTAGGTAGAACGACACACTCCTTTAGACAGGAAGTCGCGGGATTTTTTGGGGTGCTCATAGTTTGCACATCCCATTTGTTTTTCCATGCTTACAGATGCCCCAAACATAGAATTAGCACCATTTTGCTTTTTGTTGGCTAGAATTAATGGTAGAAGTGTTCTCAATTTGTGCAGTTTCTAGAACAACACTGCATCTTCGGTAACCATACCAGAGGCACCACCACCAGCTGTTTCTAGGAGACCAACATTTTTCCCCGAAGCAGATTCTTCCTCTACTACATCTGTAATGGAGACTGTGGTTTTGTGTAATGGTGGTTGCTTTATTAGGGTTCTAGTGGTGGCTGTGGTAGAGTCTTTAGCCGAATCTGCATCAGCACTAGGAGGTTGGGGGCTGAGCTGGCTGATGCTTTCGTTTAATGTGATTTTTTCAGTGGGTCTCTATTTTCGAGTCAACTGTTGTAGTCTGGGCATTTTGTAAGTTAAACTTTGCTCCTCGTCCTTCCTTCCATGTTCTATATATCTTGGGTAGACTATCCAAGAGTTGCCCTTTGTTTTCCCTGCTTATTTTTGTTACCCTTCTGAAACCTTTCCAAAGCCCCATATCTTTACTGCAGATCCAGAAACATCTTTCCAGTTGAATATCATTTTTGGAAGTAATATTTATTCATGCACAAGAGACATGGTGCTTGGAAAAACATAGGTTGCATGTAATCCTGGATATTTTCCCAAGGACCTTTTCACATGTCCTGCAGGTATATTGTATTGCCATCCTACTTGCAATCTGGTGCCAGGAAACCTGTTTCTGCTCTGCACGCAGGGACGTGTTTCAGGGTGACAGTAACACCGGTATGTGAGATGTATTAAATGCGGAGACTGACTATCCCACTAAAAACATTTATGGTGTATAACCACATAGACTTTTCTCGAATTTAGGTACATTTCCCGATCGTCACACACAGCACAAGTCAAGCACACGATTTCTTTCTAAGGTTAGTTTATTGTGGTATGTGGTGGACTGTGTATAGCGAGGCCTATGTGGTTCCCAGGGTGGGTAATGCCGCCAGTCTATGACGGTAACAGACTACATGGATGCATGTGGCACTTCTCGCACGTTATGCCATGTTTTAGGTTAAAAACCACTTCCTTTATGTTAAATTAGTATCCTTGTGAGTCGTTCCACTACAGTTTAGATTCACCAGGACTTTCCACTGTGTACTGAAATTCTGGTCATATCATTTTATGTGATAATTCCTTTTTTTTTTATCACTGAAACACATTTCAGTCCCCGGATCAGGGATTTATCTGACAGCCTAACACACTTAACTAGTTTTTTCCTTATGTTTTATCATTCGTATTTTATCACTTTGCTGTACACTGGTTATCACAAAAGATAAACACTATGTTTATTCAAGGAACACTTGTCTTTCACTGCACTATCCCGGGATCTTTTTTCTGTCACTCACACAGAGGCTTGACATTCTAGCTGTAATTTCCTCTTAGTTCTCATGACTCACGAAACCGTAATGACAAGATTGCAAACAAATCATACCACGGGTGGGGGTAGAACCCGCAGTCAGAGAGTCATAAAACTCCAGACCGACGCGTTAGCCACTGGACCAACTAGGTATATTTATACACCATAGGAAGGTTAGCATAGGCACCACTGTGACCACAAATGCAAGTTTCCTCCTCACTTCCATTTCATGCTGATTTCTCAGTGATGGGCAGTTTTTTTTTTTAAATTTCCCTTATGATGATCTATGGTAGT